GTACACTCTTCCTGCTTTCCTTTCCTATCTGCTTTAGTTGTTCAGCTGTCGATATTAATAATTTGTTACTCGATTGTCCTTCATCTTATTTCCGTTGTAGCAGTAATAGACATATTTCTAATATCACGTCTGCAAGCAAGAAAAGATTAACAAAAGATAAAACGAAGATTCGTAAAAACATAAATTACAGTACAATAAATTAGGAAACTTATAATTTATTACACACACACACACACACACACACACACACACACACACACATATATATATATATATATATATATATATATATATATATATATATATATATATATATATATAGGTAAATGTACGAGCAAGCTTTGTATTCAAATAGCGTAAGAAAAAACAGTGCTCAATGTTAAATAACAGAGGTATTTAATATATTAAAAATAATATTTTGCACAACTCAAAGTATCATGCTTTCTGCAATCGTCAGGTGCGAAATCTTTTGGTTAATACCACGTATTTAATATTTCTGACGGTGTAGAGTATTATATATATATATATATATATATATATATATATATATATATATATATATATATATATATATATATATATATCCGTTCAAGTCGTCTATTCCGTTCAAGTTGTCTGAAGATCGCGTGAGCGTGAAAATCGAGTTACGACTAGAGCCACCCTTTCCTAGGATTTAATTTTGATTTTGCCCCGCCTAGGCAATCTAGGCTTCGAGCACTTTACTGAGTAGGTCAATTTGACTTTAGGCCTTGCTTATCTTTCTCTATTCAGTATTGTCGTTTTTATTCGAAACTTTATCTGGATAAGAGTTTTAGGTTTTGGCAAGTTGTCCGTTGGTTCCATGAATGGGTTTTGTTTTTCTTTAATAAATTTGTTTACATTAGGATATAATACGGTAGAATTTCCATTCCTCTGCCGATAGCTTAGGGGTAGGATTTCCGACTGATGTCAAATCGGTCGGGTTTCGATCCCACCTTAAAGCAACCGGACGTCTATTAACACTGATGGTCTGCTGCGATGCATCGAAACAGGACTATATATATCTAATGATATATAAATATTTTGTATGTTATTATATAAGATCTTATTTCTGTCTACAAGCAACAAACCACAAACATAGTATGAAAGAAAGATTCGTAAAAAATTAATATTATTAAATTACATGAGCCGCCAACGAACAAGGAAGGAAACAGAGCAAAAAATGCAATCCAATATTTGTTCTTGTAAAGTATTTAAAAATTACTCAACCTAAAATATATGTCCGGTATCAACCGAAGTATATTGCCAGTCATTTTAACGAATGCACATATATATATATACATACATACATATATATATATATATATATATATATATATGGGGACGTACCGTCTAGCTGGGTAAGATAAGCACTGCCTACCCTGGATAAAATAAATAAGCTGCTAAATTTTCATTCTCTGGCACATTATGCACCTAATCCAACAACATAATGAATGTTCTCTGATTAGTAAAGATAAAATGAAAAATTATATATATATATATATATATATATATATATATATATATGATAAAGGAGATATTAAAACTTATCTGCTGAAATAAATTTATTACAGGACTTTTCGATAATGTGTAAAGTTTTTCCTTTGATATATATATATATATATATATATATATATATATATATATATATATATATATATAATGTATCAGTTATTTCAGATGGAGCAGCGATAGACATATTCCAACTATTACATCTACAAGCAACAAACGGGAAACATAGAATGAAAGAAATATCCGTAAAGAGATAATATTGATAACGCCACTTATAAGAAATTTGGAAACTTTAAAACTCAGTTCTTCTTTTACTGCCACTAGCAAGAGTAAAGAAAAAACAAAATGTCAACGATTTTAATATATGAAGGGAATAAAATTAATAACAGTTCTAAATATGAAGACGAGGAGATAAAAACGTATTGATGAAATGGCGGGAATAGCTGGATACAAAGAAGATTGTTGAAGATAAAACATTTTCCGAAAAGCAACAACTGAAACAGTTGGTCTTCCTTGCTGAATGAGAAATAAACTGCTTTTGCTGAGGCTAAAAGCTGATTTTCAGAAAATCGGCTTCGTCTCCGTTTTACATAAAACTACAGATTGATAAAGCGTAAAGCTGTTGTATTCCTATTTCAACATTTGTTTTACTAAGAGGTATTTTTCATTTTCGATTTCTTTTTATCGCTATCTCTTTCTTTCTTTCTTTCTCGCTATCCTCTTTCTTTCTTTCTTTCTTTCTTTCTATCTTCTTTCTTTCCTCTTACCTTTTCTTTTACGTTTTATTCTCTGTCTTTTACTATTTCTTTCTCAATCTATCCTTTTTTCTCTCTTTATTTTCCCTCTGTTTCTTTCTTGTTTTCCTTCCTTCTTCTTCTCACTGTCCTTTACTTGTTCATATACTGAGCAGCAATCTTTCATCGTTAGCTTATTCAATACAAGTTACCAATATTCTAGAAAATTACCTCTATTCTTCAATGTAATTAAGTTTCATTTTACGTTACACTCCTTCCTTTTTCTCTTTCCCATTTCCTTTATTTTTATTCATTCCTCAGTTTAAGTTCTTGTTCCTTTCATTACCATATATACTGGAATATAGTGCGAGCTTTTTTGGTCAGATTTTTTTGGCGCAAAAAATAGGTTGTTGCGCTATGCATATGTAATTTATTTTAAGATGTTAACTGCGCCTTCTTGGACATCATTACTTCTTTGTCCTTCCTTCAGTTCTCACCACTAAAGTCTTCTCATTCCCTTTCACTCCTCAAAACTTCTTGCATTCTGTTGGCCTTATTTTCTTGCTTCGTGTGAAACAATTAAAAAGAAAAGTAAAAAATCATGTATTTTCGCATATCGGTTGCACGAGACACAGGTCGTTTTTTCTGGAGTTGTTTAAATAGTGCTATAATAGTATGATATCTATGGAGACATTTGCGGCCTACCGTAAGTGACGATTCACTCATTATTGCTGGAAAATGTTCGGCAAATATGATAGCCTGTTTAGTTTAATTAAATGGCATCAAATCACTTTACAATTATTAAAATCAGTATTTGATGATTAAAAAAATGTTTTTGTACGAAAAATTGTCAGTGATTTTTAATAGATAACCAGTTCACTGCTCAATGCCCTTTAACCTAACCATAAATTCTAACGTCTAATCCTTAACCCTAACTCAAGCCCCTAACCCTAACATATTTCAGACATTTCAGGTTATAGATGAAATTCCCGTTTCGTGTTTCAAGTTGTTATTATTTTGTAGTTTTAATTTAGTTTCTTGTTGTTTTAGAAGTAATTTTGTTACGTGTTGGAAATTGTAACAAAGAAAAAAATGATTTACCAAAACACAGAGCTAAATCACAAACCAATATTTAATTTACGAAAACACAACATAAAATATATACAAGATATACAATTGTGGCTTACAAAAACAGAAAACAGAGTTTACTGGCGAAGTGTTACGAGGGAGAAGGAAGGGGAGTCAAGTGTTGCTACGAAGGAAAAAAAAGGGGAGTCAAGTCTTGTTACAAGGGAGAAGGAAGGGAAGTCAAGTCTTGTTACGAGGGAGGAGGGAGGAGGAAGGGGAGTCGAGTCTTTTTACGAGGGTGAAGGAAGGCGAGTCAAGTCTTGTTACGAGTGAGAAAGAAGGGGAGTCAAGTCTTGTTACAAGGGAGAAGGAAGGGGAGTCAAGTCTTTTTACGAGGGAGGAGGAAGGGGAGTCGAGTCTTGTTACGAGGGAGGAGGAAGGGGAGTCGAGTCTTTTTACGAGGGAGGAAGAAGGGGAGTCAAGTCTTGTTACGAGGGAGAAGGAAGGAGAGTCAAGTCTTGTTACGAGGGAGGAGGAAGGGGAGTCAACTATCATTATCATTTTAGGGCTAGCGAAGTAATCTAAGTGCTTATAACTGGAAATCCATAAATGTGAGTATATATTGAATAATTGGTGGTTTGGTCAATGAAAATAGTCAAAACCCTATTTACCAGATTTGTTCCAAGGGGTTCTCTTTTGGGGTTTTTGTTGGTCGGCAACTTTCTTTCGGCTGGATATAATAATCCTCGAATCAAAAGCCGGAGTTGACACTGGCAGAAATTTCCTTTCAACAAATGACAACCCTTTTCCAAAAATCTACTTTATAGGGGCTATCACCTAATTAGCATATTTCTAGATTTTTCTCGAGTATACTGGAATTTTCCAAACATTCTATTTCTAATTTCTCTATTTTACAACTACTTCATGTATGAAAACTTTTTTTGTATTAACAAGTAGGACTCAGTAGAATCCCTTACTATAGAAATGCATCCTAGTAACAATTGTAACAAACTTTGCATTAAGCTTAGATAAATATTTTTCAATTGTATTTGCGATAGAGTTAGTTGGTAGTGTAATGTATTTTGTTTCGTTAATTTATTTTATCGTTCATTCCTTTATTTAAAAACAACCTAATGAACTGTGTTGTATCGGAATAGATATAATTTCATATTGTCGAGCGTTCAAAACACAATTTGTATTTTATGTATTTTCCGGCTGGTTTCTAAGCAAGTTATTCAGTTATCTTCAAAATGACAGTATTATCTACAATAATGGGTCCAGACCGTTGTAAAGACACTAACAAAATGGAATAAAAAATAGTGTTACTATAGGCCTGTTTAATTTTTTTTTTAATGACGTCAAATCAGTTTACAAACATTATTTGATGATTTTTTATCTTTTTGTGTAAAAAAATGATAATGATTTTAATACATGACCAGTTAACTGTTCAATGCATTTAACCCTAACCCTAACATATTTCATACTCGCAATAGTTGGTAAATATCATACCATAGTAGAAATTGAAGAGTAGGTACTGTAGGTGAAAATGAACGGTAGATATCACACTCTAGTAGCACCGGTTTAGATTCATGAAAAAAATTTAGAGGTAGCATTCTATATGAAGTCGACTTATACACGAGCATATACGATACTTCTGTTTCTCTTGAGATGACCTTCTTTTTTCATTGCATTTGCTCTTATTTCTTTTCTTTTTTTTGTTTCCCTTCTCTCTGTTTTGTCTCTTTGGTTCACCCTTTTCATTCCTTCATCTCTTTTTTAGTCTCTCTCTTTATCGTATTGTAACATTATCCTTGTAAACATTACTCGGAACATGAGACTAAATATCGTAGACGTAAAATTATACTTTATTCACCTCCAGAGTTCGTCAATTAATATTTTAACCGTAATTCGTGTTCTCTTTTATTTACAACTGGCATAGTTTTTCTTAAACCAAAGGATATATATATATATATATATATATATATATATATATATATTAATTCTTTCACCCGAAGCAAGGTAATAAAGCCACTAAAATGGTTACTGATTGTCTGAGAATAGGAAGAAAATACTCTTATGGAGAGGAAGCCATAAAGGAACGAGAATTAAGCAGACAGAAAATAACGATTGATATTGCATTTGAACTATATATATATTTTTTTCTCCAGCAAAAGACATTCATTTCTGTAGTTTAGTGCTACCAGCAAGCAGAAATATTTCTCCTCCCGATGATGGCCATTTCGGTCGAAACTAGTCGAGGAATCTAAATGGAATAATAATAAAAAAACGAAAGAATATTAATCTACAACCCAGTGTGTCTAAAGATTTTAATTTTTTTTTTTTTATTTTCTTATATATATATATATATATATATATATATATATATATATATATATATATATATATATATATAAAATTGTATGCTTGGGCAGCAGTCTCTATTTTATAAAAGTTTCAATAATGGATTTCATTTGGTTTAGTCAGTAACGCAGTTTCTCAATGGACATGTGAATTCGTAAATAATATTGTTTCTCACCAGCAAGATGCAAATTTACGGAGGACCAATATTATTTACGGATCCACCTGCCCATTAAGAAATGTATTCCTAACCAATCTTTATTTATCAATAATTATATTGAATATAGTACAACAGGCCCAACAAAAAGAATCACGTTACAATTCTCTGACCATATCTCTATTAAAGCTCATGTAATAACACATGGAGACCTACCAAACACCATCCTCAGCATAGTCGTTGATAATAAAAATATAATAACCTTATCCACATGTAAAACAGGCTAAAAATAACGGAAGCATTATTCATAAATAAAATAGGAAGAGACAAAACTCAATAACATCAACTATGAGCACAGCGACAGTGTGCTGACAGTGTTTCTAAAATAAGACATCCCTATAACTCTAGATACATACATAAAACATAATTAAAACAGGTAACTGCAGTACATTGTCAATCGCTTTAAATGAAATATATATATATATATATATATGCATGTGTGTGTGTGTATGTATAGGGTGTGATGGGTTAATTTCGCGCATGCGCGTTGCTCGTTTTTGATTTTATCGACTGCAAAATATGTGATAAAAAGAACACCAAGACGCAAATCACTCTCCCAGAAATTTGGAACCGGTATGCTGTACTGTCTGGAATTCTTGTCGGAATCTCCAATACGAACATTTCAGAGTTTGGGCGACAGTTTGGAAAGGTTTGGATGAGTATAATGGTGATTACTAAGCGATGTGGAGTGATCACTATTGGCGGCGACGTTATGCCTCCATTCATCTTCCCACAGGGTCTCAGACTCAACACGGAGGCCTACATCAAGTCCCCTGAGAAGGTATCATTGCACCGGGTGGTTGCTGGAAGACCCGTTGTCTGACAACAGGACTCTGCAACATGCCACAGAAGCAGGAAATCCTAGTAATGTCTTTCAGACAATTTCTGCGACCACATCACTCCTTATATCTAGCAACCTAACTCTCCAGAATTGCAACCAGCTTGATTATTGTGTGTCGGGCGCAGTTGAGCCAGAGACCAACAAACTCCTTTGTAACACCAAAGATGATCTGAAGGCAAGGATTATGGCAGCATTCACTAAATTAAAGAAGGAGAACGCACAGAAGAGTTGCAGAATCATCTGGATGCCGTGGTTGAAGCCAAAGGCGATTTTATTGAATAAATTTACTCTTTAGTATTTCATGATATTTTCGTGTCAATTTGGTAAAGATATCTGTGAAAATGAGATGTCAGGGTTATTTTCATTTTTGCATAACTTAGGCGATAATTTATTTATTGCACCCTGTAGATTTCATATCCATATCTTCACCTTTTTTTCATGTGTGCATTTCCCAAGTGCAGCTGGGTCGACTACCTGTTTACATGTTGGGGGCAGCCATTGCGATGCTAATCTGTATCGAATGGCTAGGAAGACAGTTTTCAAGTCAAACTCCGATGTCCTTTCTATGATGCTTTAAGGCGATGCATTTTCGTATATCTAGTGCATGTTTTCCTCAGCCCCAGATCAGCTTCTTTAAGATCAAATGTTTTCTTATCGACATTAAATTTGATTCGGTTCACAAGGTATTTCCTGGCGTGAATCTCATACTGCAGTTCACTTGTTCTTTTCTTTTTCATTCATCATCATTGTGTGTTTTTTTTTATCCCTCTTGTTACTTCTTTTCTTTCCCTCTCCCACCTTTCTATCTTACCTTCTTTTTTCTCCTCTCTTTTTTTCGTCTCTATCTTCTTCTTAGCAATCTTATTCATATTTTCTTTTTTATTTTCTTTCCCCGACTCTCATTTCTTTCTAGCCATTCTTTTCTCCTCTCTTTAGGCGTCGTTAACCTCTTTTTTATCACTTTTATACTTATGTCCTTCTTTAATACTTCTTGCTTACGGTCACATCAAGTAAAAAACATCGGATCCTGTACGCTCACCGAAGTTAAGCAACGTCGAGCCTAGTCAGTATCTAGATGGTTGACCGCTTGGAAATATCAGATTCTCTAAGCTTGGGTGTGTGCGTGGTGTAATGGATAATAACTCGGAACTGCTAGTTGGAGAGCTGAGTTCCAATTTCAGTTATATTCACTTACGGCCAAATGAGATCAGTGAAGTTAAGCAATGTCAAGTCTGGTCAATATCTAAATGGAAGACTGCTTGGGAATATCAGATGCTCTAAGCTTGGAACTGTGAGTGGTTTAATGGATAAAAGCTCAAAATTGTTATGCCACTTTCCAATTCCAGTCGGGTTCATTATATTCACTTATTCACAAATATCCATGGGAAAAGTGTAAATCCACTAATTCTCCCCATACCAATTTATGGGTTAATTAGTAGAACGTCTATCAGTAAATTAATATTATCTTCTAAAAATCTCAAAAAATAATTTAAAAATGCTTTAAATAGCCTAAAAAGGGTTGGTAAGCCGTAAAAAACAAATCCATCAATTGATTTTTTTTCTGAAAATTCTAACTTCTTATTTTTACTGCTTCTCATTTTCTTTCTTATCACACTTTTGGCGAGAGATGTGACGATATAGCGATTTTCCAAGCGTATCTTAGGTGTGGCACAAGGCCGAAAGTACGGGGCACCCAGTGAGGATCGAACTCACTACTCATTCGTAATTGTGTTAGCGAGACAAGCTTGCTAACTATTACACCGCCTCGGGGGTGTGACAAAATATGTGACGAATTTAAAAATCGAGTTCTGTGAGAGCGCAATTTATAAAAGAGACATCAAGCATTTTGATAGCAGCGAAAGAAAAATTAAATCTGTCTTAAATATAAGAATCTGGAGACATCAAGCATTTTTGGATAGCAGCGAAATAAATAAAAAAAATTAAATTTGTTCATCATCATCATCATCATCATCATCATCATCATCCATCATCACCACCATCATTGACATTTTCATCAATCATACGGCGGATCCGAATGCCGAAAGCTCACTAACTCATTGCCACAACGTCAATCAACGGCAGCTATCAGCAATTCTGGTACAGTCATATCTGTCCATTGTTTGATATTGTCCAACCAGTTTTAGAATTGGTGTTCTCACCTACGTCTACCTTCAAAGGTGTCTTGCATGATTGTCTTGCACAGACTGTTGGGCCGTGTAATATGTCCACACCACACCATGTTTCTCCGTTTGACAGTGACGAGAAGAGGTTCCTGGTGTCCCACAAAACTTTCATCTCTTTTTCGCACAAAATCATTGTTTTTTTTTTTTTTGTTTTTTTTTCAAATAGAAAATGCCATGGAATTTTCTCATTCATTTGTTCTAAAACGCTTGGGTCCTTCTCTCTGTATCTGCCAACAGTGTCCACGTTTCACATCCATATAGGAGAATGGACACTACTATCATTTTGTACATCTGTACCTTGTTGAAAGCTGATTTTTCTCCCTCAATATCCTTGTCAATTTGGCCATCACTGCATGAGGATTTCCGAGTTGCAGGTACCATCTTTAGACAAGATTGCTCCTAAGTATTTAAAACTGGACACTTCCTCCAATGAATTCTCATTCATGGTAATATTGAGAGAGGTGTTACTGTTTGTGCTATTCACCATTACTTTGAATTTCTCGGAGCTTACCTAATTCCATATGGTCCTGCTCTTTCAAAAAGTTTATTGGTCAAGTCCTGGAGTTCACTGTTACTACCTGTTATGATGTCAATGTCATCTTCAAAACGTAAATTACAGACGGGTTTGAAACCGATAGAGATTGAAGGATCGTGGTCGTTCTAGGATTCTTGCATGATTCAATATTGTATATATAATCTATCCCTGCATTAAATGCTGCACGTGAAATCTGATATCGACTTTTAGAATTCTATGATGAAGAAAGACACCAAAAAAAAATAAATAAATAAATAAATAAATAAATAAAAAAATAACAAATCTATGACAATTTAAACAATAACTAAAATAATATGTCCATATTATCTACAATGATTTTTCTTATCGATTTGGGGGGATGTTGGTTGAATGTGTCTATGAGATTTCTTATCGCGCTGAAATCACTTAAGAGGTTGCCCAAGTTTCAAGAAAGATTTTTTTATTTTTAAAATGTATTTTAAACTTAGTTATCTCTTTATTTTTTGTAGGTAACTACTTAGTTTTGTATGTTCACTTAAAAATCACACAGTTCAGACAAGCTATAGGCAGATCATTCAGAAAGAAAATCGAATTTCAATTTTGCATTAAATATATTGGAAAATTTATATTAGAAAGAAAAATAAGTGCTTATGAAAATACGAATTTTTGATTGACTTTTGAAAACTAAACATTTTCATATCACGTGGGTGTATGGTATTTGTGATTGATCCTTTTTAAAAACTTCGACTGTTTTTGATGGGGGGGGGATCTTAAGCTGCCATAGCGGCTGTTGCAATGATAGCAACAAAAGTTGTCGGAATGAAATCTCTTTGGATCAAAAAAAGAAAAAAAGTAACATATTTTATTAGAAAGATATTTACTATTTATTTCTTTTTTATTTTATTTTATTTCGTTTTTTTTTTTTGTTATCCATTACGATTCTTTTTCTACAGTGACAGCGGTTTAAACAATGAGACAATTTTTATTCACAGATCGCGATAGCTATTATGGAGATGTGACTAAATATACTTCAATATTTAAAAAGAAATCATTATTAATATTGTTTAGGTAATAAGCATTATAACAGTACAAATAGCTATATTGTGGGAAAAGGAATTTTAGACAATATACTCATTTTTTTACGTATTTATAGTTGTTTTTTTAACTTTTAATATCTGTTAGCATCCCATAGAATAGGCCTGAAAAGAAAGAATATCACACGATGCAATATTTTGAAATACGCTCTTTTGTTAGAGATAGATTATCAAGAACAAGGACTGTCGCGAAGGACGTTATTTTTTTTCTTCTAAGTCTTTGATATCTTAATTTTGATGAAAATGATAAAAAAGATTTTAAATCAAACTTAAGAACTGCACAAAGATTCTTACGAAAATTCGGATACAAAAGCGATTCTGAATATTCTGATTTTATTAATTAATAATTTTAAAATTATATATTAATTACTATTTTTTTTAATTATTATCTATTTGTGCCCACTTTTTGATATTAATAGCTATCTGCTGATGTGTTAAAATTTTGGAATAATTAAATTTCATCTCTCTGATAGATGTCGTGATCTGTTAATTACTTAATGCAAATGAGAACATGTAGGATTATTTTATTAAAACGAATAGAGTTAATCCCCTATCTCTCTTCGACACCAGTCACTCGCCCACCATCCTTCGTGTGCTCTGCAACCAATAATAATAATTAAACCTCATGGGGAATGGTGATAACTTTATAGTCAGCCAATAGCATGCCCTCTAGTTTGAGAATTATATCCTCAAGGACGATCACTCAGCACGAAGGATTTGACATTAATGCTTTTTTTTCTTTTTACAGTGCAAGAGAGAATCAACATCCGAGGAAAAGATAATACACGACTTCATTATTCTTTCTTTACTAAATCAGTTTCAGTTGAATTTCTTTACAAATATCGGAGTACTATAGTTAGTAGTATCCCTAGACTGACTCCCTCAAAAATAAAATAAAATATCTTTCCATTTCCATCTCATTGTAAATAAGTTAGAGCTATGTTTAATGTGAGCCATTGTTTTTTTTTCTGTGTATCCTCACTATGTGTGCCAAGAAACCTCCTTATTCTAAAAGTGGCATAGTCAAGTAAATATTTACGATCAATATTCCTGCAACATATTAGAATCAAAGAAGCGCCAAATATGTTGCAGCAATAGCAGCTTTTAGTGAGTCTAGGGAAAGATAAACTGACGGAATTCTCTCCTATTAAAACTGGTTTTGAACATTGTCCTAGTTGTCTTATCAATTCAAAATGGCTGCCCTACTATTCAGATGGCATTATGGATCCAGAACATTTATTCTATTATACTGACTGCCAGCCAACCTGAGAAATCCCAGCTTGCTTTTATATTTAACCCATAAGAGTAAACTGACATATTCTTGCCTTTTTCCAATAGTAGTAGTGTGAATTGAATGACACAGACTCTATCAGAATGTGAACTCGACTGATGAAAAAAATTATTAATTATTGCAAAAATAAAAATGAATTAAGCTAGTTTTTCAAATATTGATTTAGATGAATTTGATTGATGTAATTCACTTCCGAATAAATCTACTATTTCGTGCGATTAAATACATCCTTATGGTAGTGCAGTGGTTGGCGTGCATTCTGCATCGATTGCCATATCTGCAAAACTTATTCATTAATTTCCTTCTTAATAGTCGACAAATGTAGCACGTGATTCATGCCAGGAAATATCAGAGGTTTGAACAGAATTTAATGTTCATCAGGAACCCTTGAATTAAAAGGAGATGGTGATCTGAATATGTACTGGATTCACAATAATTAGATTAAAAAAGCTAAGTGTCTCAGAGGGGAAACTAATATGGCACCCACATTATACTTATTATAAAACCCAGGTTATGTGTGTGTGTCTGTTCGTTTATATATTGGATCGGATTTTCTACATTTTTCAACCGATTTCAACAAAACTTCACAGGACTACGTAAAATTACCTTGCGGTGATTCTGACAGCGCCAAAAATTGGAAAAACACAATTGTTTTTGCACGAAATCAATTTGAAAGCACGATTAAGAGGTATCGCTGTCGCGAGAATGAAAGGGGGACAACTCATATCGAGATATACTTATTATAAAACCCAGGTTGTGTGTGTGTGTGTGTGTGTGTGTGTGTGTGTGTGTGTGTGTGTGTGTGTGTGTGTGTGTGTGTGTGTTCGTTCGTTTATATATGGGATCAGATTTCCTACATTTTTCAACCGATTTCAACAAAACTTCACTTTTTGTTTTGGCAGGTAGTCTTTCTAATTGTCTTGCACACTTTTTTCTTTATTTTTACATTCAGAATGCTTTAAAAATTCCATTTACAAGACAATTGTTTATAATAAAATTCTATTCAATCGGTAGACT